TCCAGATTTTGGACTCTTTCAGTTTTTGAGATACATAAAACAAGTTTTAAATCCAGCTTTGATTAGCCTGAGATCAGAAAATTATGCTTTTTGTTGTGTAGATGCTCACAAGGTTACTGCAGACACATGAACAAGGGCCAGGTACCACCACAGTACAGGAGTGAAGGCAACACTGGGGCTTTGAGAGAAAACTGCCTTAACATTGGGCTTCGTGACTCTACTATCATTATCATCATCTAAGCTAAACAATGTCAGACCTACAGAAAAGCACCATCCCAGTCACTTGAAGGCACCTAATTCGCTATGTAGAACCTGACTGAGACAGCAGGTTCATCCAAATTTGAAGCCTGATTCATGTCTACTGAATATGAGGCAGAAATGCCAAGTTCTATTCAGCTCCAATATTGAACTTTTAATAATCTGTAGCAATATACTTTGTGGACTTAACTGGAGCATTAAGGTAATCGCCACCAAGGGAAAATAATTTGGAAGTCTGGTAGTTCAGTACACTACCATGAATATTCAGAATATTCTTTACTTTTCTGCTTCATTTATTGCTTTCTTCAAAGTCTTGTTTTGGAATCAGAGGTATTCAAGCTTTCTTGGAGTTATAAGGAGTACAGCTGTAGATGGAAAATAATACAAGTAGTACAGCATAAGACAAATCCTTAACTTATTTAATAAGAGCTACAGTTAGGTCCACATGCAGATTTTTACCTAAAAATATCAATTGCTATGTATACCTTAATACAAAAGTTACATACCTTGAACTAAACAAGAACTTAATTTATTTTACTTGAATAAAACCTTTGATACTCAAAGTGTTTGTGGAAACCTGCTTTTTTTCATGTGGCATGTTGGTTTGGTTGAAAGGGGCAAAAATGCAAATATATTCACCAAGGAGAGCTGGATCTATCAGCTTACATGAAGTAGAAAGCTGGACTGCTGTAAAAACAACAGCAGGGTCAGTAAGGAGTGAGGTATGTGGGCTTCCTCTCCTCTGTCCTCCTTGCCCTTAACTCCTTCAATAACTCTATGCCAAGTGGTAATTTAGACAGCCATTAATATTTTAATCCATTTTAATGAAAAACAATAAAAAAAGACTACAGTGACACAAAACAAGTTAAAAGTTGGCTTTATCAATGGACACATTTTTTTAAAAAAAGACAATATACAAGACCCCAATGAAATTCTACTTGCATTTTAAAGTAGAAAAGCAATTTCTACAAGTTTTCCAGAAGTAACTTGGCCTCTGAACAATCTACTGCAGTGTCAGAACTAGCACTCTACTTACTGCACACACCAGCTTGGCTCTGGCATCTGTGTAACATCATAAATACAGCACACAAGTCACATCCCAGCTACACAGTATAAATACTTCCATTTTCTTTGAAACTTGTACAATTTATCTGTTACTGGAATATCTCATTTTGGGAAATACCAGAATTTTAGATTACAGCTCAGATACTGCAGCTTTCTCCCTTTATACAACATGCAGCCTTGTTTCTGTTCAGTATGACAGCTTCAGCCGGGATCCCATCCAACCACACGTGGAAGGCATTTCAGATGTGCTACCTGAGCTGAAGCATCTGCCCCAGGGACTTGCCATGCAGTTACATTAAGGGGCAGGATAGACACTGGTGGCTTTATGGGGCAAGGCACAGATCCAGCCTAAGGTCTGTTACACAGCTTTTCAAATTATTTGCAAGTCAAACTACAGCTGTCTAGTCTCAGGTTAAGTTACTAGACAGCCTGAGATACCCTTAACAAATACACACTTAATACTCTCCTAGGAATATCTAATTTCCTAACCAAAACTAGTCTTTCACATCATTCCTTTTAGTACAAGCCACTGTTCATCAGGCACACAAGGCCATATCTACTGGGCCTTTCAATATGCTAAACCCAAGAGAAGTGAGGAAACCCATCCCAAAAAAAGCGTCCAGCAGAAAAGATGAAAAGTGGCAGGGAAAGATGATCAGAGATGATCAAAGAGGACTAGTGGAAAGAGGGAAGAACAGAACCTGCCCCGAGCCAGCACCCGCTGTTCTAAAGAGTTCCTTCAAGCTGCATCACGTCACTGAGGAGTCCGCAGACATTGCCATAACCAAATCCAGGTTAACAGTGATTTGCAAGTTAATTTTCCATGCACACAGTTAGCTGTGTGCATAACATAAAAACCTGGGCCTGTCTTCAAAGTACAACAGAAAGTTTTCAAAGACAAGAAGCTCAAAACCTGGAGCAAGAGGTCAGCCAGTGATACATATTCATGTCCAGCATCCAGCTGCCACGAGAAGAGATCCCATGCCTGCAGCATGGGTCAGGGTCACAGCAAGCTCCCCGCTGGACCACCAGCCAGCAGTGCCCCACATACGGCCTGCAGGCAGAACCCACACACCTGAGGAATTTACTGTCTCCCTTCACATCATCTCAGCCCAAGGAGCTCAGGTTCCCACTTGAAACTGCCCTGGTTTGTATGGCGACCGAGCTGAGCTGCCAAAGGCAAAAGGCACAGGAGATGGTTCCACCAGCTGCTGAGCAGGAAAGGCCAAATAGTCAAAATATCCCCCCAGGGACCCAGCGCCTGCCTATGTCATCCATCCCTCTCCTGCCTGCCACCAGCAGGACACTGCGGTGTGAGGAGGACAACACACAACACCTTCAAAGAGATGGTCACTGGACATCAACTCTAAATGCAACTTATTCCACAGACTGGATTTCAGGCTATGTTATACCTTCCTGTAGGTCATTCCCCCCTCCAGGGATTCTGAAGTTTCCTTTAGTCCTCGTACAATGTTGCATAGTCCCTCAGCACAGACTTCACCAAGACCAAGAACGCAGAGCAAGCTGGATGCAGGAAGATCTCAGCAGGAGGGCACATGCTGCAGTGCAGGGTTAGTTCAGACGTACCTTTCTAAAGCTGATTTTTAATTGGAAAAACACTTCATGGTTTTTACCTTCCACACAATGTTAGCATGGGATGAATGGAATATATATACTGGAATGACACCCAGTATAACTAAGATTGAACACAGGTAATTTTGTCCATATTGGTCAAAACTGGTCAAATCTGTGGACTCACAATATAAGCACAATACACATCTGTACCATGTCCAAATTCTGCTCCAATTTCCCAATCTCTATTTCTCCTCTCTCTCAAGTGAGAGTCACCTAGGGAATATATAAAAGCAGATTTAAATGAGAAACTCTCCAAAGTATTATAGCCCACAATATTTTTTTGAAACAGGTTTGATGATTTTTCTTAGCTCACAGCTGCACTTCAGATAAAAGCCACATTTAGCTAGTTGCCTGCAATGTGATTTTCCCATATTCCCATCTAGCAGCTTCCCAATTCCAGTGATGTGGGGTAGAGACTGAAAGCCACACGATGAGCCCACCAACTGAAGAGGATTTCACAAGCACATCTACTGGCAGAGGTCTGCTTTGATACCTGATGTGATTACAAGATTATTCTCTTATTTAACAGAAGCAGACACAGTCCTGTGCTGCAGTCAAGCTGCATCCACAGTTATCTTCCTGTTACAGTGGGATTCCCTTTGAAATCCACAGCAAAATCACCTTTGTTTCACACCTCACACTGGGTCTAAATAGCTGGAAGCAAAGTCTTGGTACCACCTGCTCTTTGGTCAGATAAGCACATGCTTAGTTTCAGCTGTAGCTGGAACGCAGCAGGACGTAGTTTCTGCAGAAATCTTTCCACAGCTTTCTCTCTGTAGAGGTAGAGTGCTTTGAAACAAGAATACAGGTTCTTGTAAATCCTGAAGAAACTGATGCCAGAAGACATTTGCTGCTGGCCAAATAAAAAAGCAGACCACACAGTTACCTTGTACCCCATCCAGACCTCTGAGAAGTAACTGTGTAAATATTTTCCAATTCAGGCTTTAAGACCAGACAATCCCTAAATAAAGCCTAACAAGCTTCAGTACAAGCAGTTTTAGCACACTGAGGGAAGTTTTAGCCCTTTACAAGTTTTTTTCCTGTACTGACATGTAGAGATGTGATGAAGTTTTACTTCTACACAGAACATGTTGACTAAGAGAGGTAGCTTTTACTTCAAAAAATACCTTGGAAAACTCGTATTTTAACTATTTGTGAAGCCCCTGGTCAAAACAGAGAACAATATACACCTGGCGTAAAACATAAGCACAAGTCAAACACTGGATATATCCCAGCTATCTTAAAAAAAAAATTGTTATTATTTTATTATTTAGCACTTCAGTATTATTTCAAGTGAGGAAACCCTAAACAGATCTAGGTTACCACATTGTTTGACAGTCTTTTCCCTAATAAAGTACCAGATGTGCTTTTCTTCCTTTCTAAACACATAGTTAAAATAGTAAATGTTGAGGTCTAGAAAAACATTATTCAATCTTGGAATAGTCTATGCCCAGATATTAAGCAGAACAGGATTAAACTGGAACATCTCAAAGATTTTGGATCAACATCATTTGTTGTTTTCTGTTTATGGCTCTTTGACAAGTCCAAGAGCAGTAAGACAATGTAACAAGTTGATCAACCTGATGTTTCCAATTCCAAGACAGTCACAAACTAATTTCCACTGGTGTCTAATAGAAAGTCAGTAGTAGAGAATATAAAGTGCCACTATTCTACATCACTTAACTGCATGTATTAAGCTGCTTAATACCCTTTTAGCAATATATACAGTCATTTTTAACATTCCAGAAAAAGATCAAAGTACTGTGTGATGAGTTACAAATTCAGCTCTCCTACATTTCATATACTATACCTGCAACAGATGCTTGCAGTAAGTGGAAGTTTACATCTGTATCTCCACTTGATTGGAAAAGCAGTAAATTATTTCAAGCCAATTCATTAATAAATATCATAGAGAAGATTGATGAGCCGACAAAGTTCAAAAGTCAGCAGTGTCCACATGCAGAAACTAAAACAAAGGAGCAAATAAAATGTAATTTGCTTTGGACTCTACAACAGCAATGCTGGGAACATGGCTCTTAAGGCAGCTCAGCACTAAAAAAAGGTGCCCTAAGACAGATTGCTCCCATCATAAACGCATATGTAGAGAAATGCCCAGGTCAAGAGTGTGAGGGATTTCTTTTTCTGAAGAACACTGTATTTTCTATCTGTTTGATAGCCTCTGCTTTCTTCAGCTCATGATGCCTGTTGGTATTTATCCTGTGGTTCATCAGAATCACTAGCCTCTGTTTCGCTGCTCTGGGAGAGCTCTTCTGGGCTCTCTACTCTGTCCAGTTCCAGAAAACTAGTGATGAGTTTGGCAACTGCTTCCACATCACTGTGGAAAAGAAGAAACAATGTGTTAGTGGAACTGTGGTGTTGACAAGAACAGGCACAGTAATTCTTGAGAATTAACTGCTTGAAGGGCCACTCAACACACAGCATTGAGTGTAACAGAGAGCACCCTACTTGGGAATGCAGCATGTCCAGCCAAGCCATTACTTGATATCAGAACATATCGATCCTTCTCCACAGTCCCCGCTGCAAGATTCCTTATTATCAATGCTTAAAATAATCCTCTGTTAACTGATAAATACACCAAGTGTTTACAAAGCAGAATTAATCCCCTCTGTCATTGCACAGCTGAGCTAGTGAAGGTAACGACAGCAGACATGCAGCACCCAAGGGATATGATCAGTCTCCTGATGGGAGAGAATGTCACCCAGATGCCTGCAACTGAAAGCATTAAAGGGTTTTAAGAAGTTAAGCTGAGTGACACAAAGTTATACCAGCAAGTAGGAAAATGAAGCTGAGTCTCAATAGCTGGCAATTACTGCCCCATGCAATTACTTCCCACCTTACACATTTGAATTAAAGGAAATCCATACTGCACCTTCTACAGCCCAAGACAGCACTCTGAGTCAGTGGGTGTGAAAAGCCAGTGACAAATCTTAGAACAACCAGGTAACCCTTCCCAAAATACCGCACAGTCTCCTCTTCCACATTCACGTCTCGGATCTCGTTCAGCAGAGCCACTACTGCAAACAGACGTGGAAAAGAAAACAGTCTATTAGCATGAGAGCAACCTCTCAGCAGTGCTACTAGTGACTTGCGTGGCTGGGACTCCATGCTCTGAGTACTACAGCTCTAACCCCAGACAACAGTCCTGCAGTAACAAACAACTGCTGAGCTCTTCACACAAAGCAGTTGAGGAGACCACAGCACATCCTAGCTGGTGTAGGTCTTCAGGAACAAGACAAACTGCTTCCCAAGAACTGAGGACTGTTAGTTTACTAGTTTCCCACTTAATGACAGTTTTAACTATTTTGCTGTATAAAGTAGGTAAACAAGTGTTAAGTTTACTAAGACTGAACTAATACTAAAAGATTTAACTGTTTAGAGCATCTGCTGATCTCTGAATCCCAATGTTAAGAGTATTTGAAATAGATTATTGCCAAATAACCTCTTGAGAAGATATGCAGTCAGCTCCCCAACATACAAACATACCCTAAAGCATCCTTCTCTGCACATCTTCCACTTCCAAAATGAACAGGTTAAAAAAAACAACTCAAGGACATTCCCAATTTTGTTCACTTTTCTAAGCATACCAAGAGTTGGTTTGATTTAGACTAGCAAGTAGAATGTAAAAAATAAAAAATCTAATGTTGAAGAGGATCGTATTTTTGTTCGCTACAGAGCTCCTGTCTCAGTGACTCAACCAAGTCACACATTATACTTCAACTTCTGTAACTTTGACAGGACGCTCAAAAGAAGTGAGATACCATATTAAGCTGAGCCTACTGAACATGCTGTTCTAAATGCATACGATTTATCTGCAGGATATAACATGCCTGCTTGCATGTGGTATCTAAAGATTTGCCTGCTACCAAAACCAGATTAGATTATAGAAATCTTAACTCCCGGATCCAAAAGTATACATTTTTCCACCAGTCCCACCTGAAGAGCAGGTTAGACAAGGGAAATTGAAACACATTAACATCCCAAAGGAATGGCTGAGACTAGATGGAAAGCAATATGTAAGCCTGGTTACCTCAGATTAAAATAACTAACAAGATGCATTCAGCGCCCTAACCTGAAGCATTTGGGTCCTGAGAGGCAGATTATTACATCTGCTGCTTGGGAACAAAACAGATCTGGAAACCGATGTGACTAATTTGAGTCCAGAACTCAGAGAAGCTCACTAAACAGGCATGCCCGCATTTCTCCCGTCTGCTCACCACACCTGCTACCACAAATACTGCTTCTCACCTTGTTCATTGCCTCCCTTGGAGAAGGTCAGTATCTTTTTGTAAAGATTGAATGTTTTCAGGCAGATTGTTCCCTTGTTCTTATCAAACACAGCTTCCTGTAAAATTAAAAAAATAAAAAATTTATTAAAAATACTACCAGTAGCACAGCTACTGATATGTACACACATATCAGAAAAATATATAGTTATTTTAGAGATATTCCTCTATTATCGGACTGAAAATCACAATCTTGCTCTCGGCTTTAACAGAGCCTTTATCATATCTCCTGTGTTACTTCTAGAAGAAATTAAAGCTAGTTTTATTTCATTGTCACTTTTGCCACACTCCTTACATAATAAAAACTTTGCCTAGAATCAAATTTGAACACTAACTTTGAGCTCCTGCAAGTGTAAGTACACAGTGAACATAAGTGCTAGTTACACTTTTCATTAACTCCACCAAAATTCCAGTGTTGTGCTGTATGGGTCAGGCTTGCTCTAGATTTAAAACCACCCCAACAGTCGATGAAAAGAGGGTGTCCCACGTGTGGGTTGCTTATTCGAACAGCAGCTCAGGTCAGTAAAGTAACAAGCCTCTGTAATAGGTTATTGCTCTCAGTCCAACTCCCAACAAATCAACATCAAACCAGCTTCTCAAACACCACTCACATCACTTTTCCCAGTGGAAAACAAGTAGCCTGGAAGGTCAGAGCTACCCTGTTTAATGGTCATTCCATCATTAGATTGAATTCTAAGTATGAAATCATGTTGTAGCAGCTGCATGTTCTTTTCTTTCTCTCTTTTATAGGAGAGGAAGAAAAGGCCACAAAACCATTTGGAGCAAGTCTCCCCTTGACCATTCTTGTTTAGCATCATGCTTGTGCAGTGAAAGAACTATCGCCTCAGTTCTAGCCCTAGCACAGCAACTCCAAAGGGTTTCTTTGAAACCAAGAGCATAACTTCTCTGCTTGGGCTGAGCAAGTGCACAGGGCTGCTGGAATCCACACCTGCCAACTGTTTCTGAACTCGCAGGAGCTCATCTCCCGAGTTCAGCACCTTACCTCCCACTGCTCCAGGTTCTGTGCTGCCACAAAGAAACACCCAGCCATATAGAAGAGCTTCCATGCCAAGCTGTCTGAATAAGGAAAAAACATCACACAAATTTAGGGTTTTTTTTTCATTCTTTGGTATTCAGTTAGTTTTAAAAGCAACATGCTTTCTTTAAAGGCAGCAAAAGGAAAAAAGGTTTCTCTGATGCAACATTTTTGCTTTTAGTTTTAATGCAAGCTATTTTATAGCTCTCTCCCAGGATGAAAATGCAGAAACTTGTCACATTTATCAGAATCAATCTACACTGGGCTCCAAGCCATGCAGAATTCTAAGCATATTATTGGCAAAGTTCTAACATCATCACATCTTTCTCTTCTCTAAAATCAAAGGCATCTTAAAATGCATCCACAAAACTCTCAACTGCCAAATATTTGTGCTGCAGAGGACAAGGGTAAGGGGATGATGGAAATTCACTGAAGCAAACACCTTTCCTTGTAAAAGGAAGCAGCTGGCCCCCTTGACAAACAAGCATTTGCATTTTACGTCCTGGTAACGTTTACATAGAGCAGCCTAAGCAATTTTCTTACTCAGGCTTTTACTGAAGACAGAGCAGAGCTGCGCTCAGTTTTGATTCAGAAATGTTTGTTGCAGTGTCTCAAGAAAAAAGGCTGCTATAGCTGGTGTCTCAAACAGGTTTCACTGGACCTTGCTCTTTAAATACAAATACTCTGATTATATTGGTAGCATATTCCTACACACTGCTAAGTTTTAAAATTTGATGTTACCCGGATGCAGGAAGAGAATCCCAGGCCAGCCTGCAGGATAAATTCCACAGGTGAAGGACAGCTGGCATTTGGTGCAGGCTGCTCTGCTGTATGGGAAGCAGGAAGCAGCAGTGGCTGCCTGTTCTCTAGAAGGGAGTTTATGAGTAATCTCTGCTGGTGATGATTTAACAGTTTCCAGAGAAACAAAGCACTTCCAAAGGCAAGGGAATCATTGCATTATGCTGGCAAACAATTCTATGTCTTCCCAGGAGCACTGTGAGAACCAGCTAATCACATTGATAAAACGCACCAAAAGGACAAAATGCCAGTGTACTAAACATCATTCTTAAAAATATTCTTGCAAATGGAAAGGAAGGCTGAGTAATAGAGTATTAAAGCACAGTAAGACTCACACAGGCAACAATTGTTATTGTATTTAAATATTCACACCACAAGGTGCAATAGGTACCTAGACTCCCGTCATAAGGCCAGACAGAAGCTGCAGAGAGGAGTCATCAGCATGAAAAAAACAGATCAACAGGAAATAATTCTTCTAAAAAAAAAAAAAAAAAATCATAAGCCATTACCTGCACTATAATAAGCAGCAGCCAAACCTATGGAGGCTATTCCTAGGATGAGAGGGGAGAGAATTAGGACAAACAAGCACTGGAAACAATTTAAAATTCCCTGATGAAAAACATAAGAATACTCACAAGTTAATCACTTTTCAAAAAAAAAAAAAAAAAAAAAAAAAAAAGGGACAAATGTGATGGCAACACTGATTGCTGTATGAAAGTCAGTTAAAAACATCCCATTCTGCAAAGGCACTAAAGGCACAAGGGCTGAGGTCAGAAATAAAAAGGTCATGACGGAGTCAGGAACAGAACTTCAAAGGGAGTCTCAATCTCCCCATCAGCCCGTACTTCCTCTCGAGCACAGCACAACCTGCAGCATGCTACCACAAACACCAACGGTTCTTTCCCCCACCTCCAAGCGCTCTGTGGAGCCACAAGAAAACTTCTGCAATAAAGTTGCATCAGAAACTGCCAGCTCCTTTCTGCCATTGAGGGGGAAGCAGCAGCAGAGTGCCTCAGAGTGCCTCACGCTCCAGCACACTGCTGCAACGGCAAAGATCTTGTCTCAATGACAGTTTGACAACACAGCATCACTGAAAGCAATGACAACCCTGCAGCGTCACTGCCATGGGATCTACTCAGCTGGAAACCAGGATATGCCACATCTTCCCCACCAGCTCTCTCAGTGTAGTCCTAAGAAGTACCACTCCATTTTTTTTATGTATATTTAGTGTTTAAAACCAGATGCCTTTCAGAACATCCTGTATGACTTCCTATTTCATACACATAGTGCCGTTGACACACTGTCAACCACACACAAGGTCTAACTCGGCATTGCTCCACTGCATATTTTTCCATTTCTGAAAACCTAGATGTTTTTCAAGATCAGTACACATCCCCTTCAGAAGTTTCAATGTTGATATTGCCACATGGCATATGGTAAACCTTTTTTTCTTGATCTTTCACAACGCCTTTAAAATGCTGTTCATGAGACTCTGAGGATCTGCAGCTGACAGACTGAAAAATTACCAGTTTCACAAGAAAACTACCACAATGAAGAGGAGACTTAAGATTCATTTAGCATCTACACTAAAGGAGAAGTTCAGAGCATGACAATACCTCTTTCTTGAAATAAAAATGCCTGAAATACAGATGTCTCATGAGAGGCTCTTTCAGGAATTTATTCTGTGAGCCTCCTTCCCTTAAAGCAAGCTCTGAAACAAAGTGAGGAATATTATGATCTTACCAACAAAGAGAGACCACGACCGGATGCCAGGTGACCTCTTCAGATGAAGATAGGAACTGGTGCGGCTTTCAACCAACATGTACATCTTCAGAAGAAACTCCCAACAGCCCAGTGTGACTCATGAAATCTCACTGGAACAAAAAAAAAGGTAAGTAAGAATTAAAAATCATTGTTAACTGCAACTCTCTCCCTTTTTAGCATTTTTCAGAACTTATCAAGCCTTGATCTAGACTATAAAAGATGTCCAGGCTAAGTGAGAACAGAGTCTTTTTCACAAAAGAGCAGCAATATGCACACTTAAAAACATTGCAAAGAAAAACCATCATGCAGAGACTGGTAGAACAACAGGAATCTGAACTCTTCAAGAAACTTTTCATTTTAGAGGTAAAACTCTCTTCTCTTCTATCACAACCAGATTCCAGAAGAAAGCATGAAAAGCAAGAACCTGGAACTATGTTGTAGCTAATTCATGCACCATTTCAAGCAAATAAACCAGCAAGAGCAGTGGAAAGTTCTCTGACAGCTTTTCTCCTGCTAACTGCCATGATGGACTAGCCTGGCAGCCAAAGCAGGACAACAGAACCTTCTACCAGCCAGACGCCAGCTCCGTCACCCCTGAGGACAGACCAGTGAGGGCGGCAGCCTCAGCCCAGCAGTGCCAGCACCACGCAGTGCCATAGGCTGCATTCCCACCCTTCAAGCCAAGAATAAAACAGAGTTTCCAACAAGAGTATGTTTGTCTCTCCTCACCAAGACCATGCCCTCAGCCTGGACAGCAAGTAACAGCAGAGATTAAAAAGGCAGGTACTAGTTTAAAACAGTAAGAGCTGGGCAATTCCATGCAGCATTTTCACCAAGTTTTGGTTATTTACAGCAAAAAAAAAAAAATTGTTTGAATTCTGCCATGATTGGGAGTTCTGATGCAAAAAACAATCTTATCCTAACACTATCAGCACAGTCATGGACACTGGTTCACATGGGAGGCAAGAGGCCCATGAGGACCCAGCTGATGTGTTCAGGATTGTCACTAGACAACAGGCAGGTTGCTGACTGCTTCTCTTGGGCACACTGGCAGAGATGCTTGTTATTATGAAGACCACAATCCACCAACAGGAAATAGGAAATGAAAGCCTGTGCCAAGCATCATGTCATGATGTCAGCAGGTTACACCTTGGCCTGTATCATAGATTTCTCCTATTTTGCTTTTTTATTTTGTTACAGCCTTTGAATCACTTCAGGTAGTGGCTTTCAGCAGACTTCATAGAATAGTTTGGGTTGGAAGGGACCTTAAAGATCATCTAGTTCCAGCCCCTCTACCATGGGCAGGGACACCTCCCACTAGACCAGGGTGCTCAGAGCCTCATCCAGCCTGGTCTCGAACACCTCCCATGGTGGAGCACCCACAACTTCCCTGGGCAATCTGTTTCAGTGTCTCACCACCCTCACAGTAAAGAGCTTCTTCCTAATTTCTCATCCAAATCTCCCCTCTTCCAGTTTGAAGCCACTACCCCTTGCCCTATCACTACAAGCCCTTGTAAAAAGTCCCTCCCCAGCTTTCTTGTAAGCCCTCTTCAGATACTGAAAGGCCACAACAAGGTCTTCCCAGAGCCTTCTCTCCAGGATGAATAACCCCTACTCTCCCAGTCCATCCTCCTCGGAGAGGTGTTCCAGCCCTCAGATCATCTTTGTGGCCTCCTCTGGACCCACTCCAACAAGTCCAAGTCCTTTGTGTGTTGGGTGCTCCAGAGCTGGACATAGCTCTCCTCCTCAGAAAGGATTTTTCTAAAAAGGATATCCATTTTTATGATTGCTGTGGTCAAGCTCAATATGCATGAAGCATTCTGAGTACCACATGAGCACTAAGCAGCTTGTTTACTGTTGAAGACAATGACCACCAACTCCTATTGATCCACTTTAATCATTAAATAGCAACTCTCCCACCCATGGAACCAGTTCACAGGAGTTCGTCATTAAAGCCAGTGTCAGCTGCTCACAAGAACAGGTTTCCAGAAGAATGCCAGCTTTCAACAGGTTTTTGAATAACCATGAAAAACACTTGGATAGCAGGCCCAAGCACACCCAGATTCTTACAGAAGTATTTGATTTTTAGTCCTTTAGTCATCTTGCTGTTCTTAGATAAGTACATGACACTCCTGTAATTCCGCACCAACTGGCTAGTTTAGATCCAAAGCTCCTGGGAATATTTTTCCTCCATTTAAAGTATATTTACCAGAGTCTTTTCAGTTAAATAAAAAGCCCCCACGTCTTTGACTTTAATCTCTTAGCAACACGTCTGAGAAAATCTGAAACTGGAAGAAATCTGAAACCACTTATGCATAGGACACACTCCATCTCCTCCAGATGCCAAGCATCCAATTTTAATTTTCAAACTACTCCTGTGAAATGCTCTCAAGGTACTGGAAAATATTTCTGCATGTACAAAAACCTGCAATAATATCAACAAGTTATCAAATACACAAAGATCATTACAGAAAATCTGGCCATATTTCACTAACACACCTTACTTAGATGGCCATATACATAGGTACAACTTAAATCGATGAATGCAAACTTTGATGCCTCCCCCTCGTATTCCTTCAGGGAAGTCCAACCATGCAATTACCAGTATCAGCTTCGTGTTGGATGCTCGAAGACAATGGCATCGTCTCTCAGGGGCAGCTGGTTTTAAGATCAGTGAATTTTTTTAGGGAATAAAAAGCACCAAAGCAGCTTCTTAAAGTTATGCTGAATAATATCAGTCATTAATACGCCTTTAAGTAAACACATAAGTTTTACTATGACGATTTACAGAGATAAAGATAAGTATTTTGGGGTAGCTAATTTTGCGTGATTTTTTTAGGTTTGACGCCAAACTGGTCTTCAGCACCAAAATAAACGCTGAAATACTTCCTCCAAGCCCTCCATCGGAGACGAGCAAACAAAAGCCACCTTATCACGCACGCTGGAAGCTTAGCCTCAACACCCCCCCAGGCCCGGGCCGTGCACGGGGCTCCGCTCCCCTTACCTCCCCTTACCTCCCAGTCC